GCTGCTCCCCCCCCGCAGCCCCCTCCTTGCCCACCCCAGCCCCAGCTCCATGTCCCTGGTGCTGGGCTGGTGGGGTGCCCAGGATTGGGGGATGCCATGGGGGTGATCTCTGCCCAGAAACCCTCTCCCCCCGGGACGAGGCTGCCAGCGGCACCGAGCCAGGCACCTCTGCCCCCCGAGCCAGGCACCTCTGCCCCCCACCACCAGCCCTGTGCCCCCCGGGTGGGGGTCCCGGAGCAATGCCATGCATTGCTGGGCCCAGCAGGAGCTGGAGGTGGCAAATAAGAGCCCGTGGGGCACTCGGGAGGGCAAAAGTTGTCACCACTGCAGCCGCAGTGGCTTCCCTGGGCTTGGGGGGACCCCACAGGGATGGGGATCCCTGGGCCACCAGCTCTGGGTGTCCCCAACACCCTCAGGGCAGCTGTTCCAGCGCCCAGAGCGGCACAGCTGGGGGGCACAGGGTTCCTCTGCCCACCCCGGGACCCCGGGCTCTGGCTGGTCCTACCTCTGCCTGCGGAGGGGCCAGGGGGACCCCCAGCCGGGGGCTGCGGCGGGGGCAGGAGGCCGGGAGAGACCTTATTGTGGTTCCTGGAGGGAAAAGCCAGGAAAAGCAGCAGCGTCCCTCCCTCCCGAGGGGGCCCCGGCGGCTCCCCGCCTGCCACGACGCCCTCCCCACCCCGGGTGCTCTCTGTTTGCCTGCTATTTTTGGCAGCCTCCGAAGAGCTCCTCTCGGGCTATTAATAATGAGAGTGCGAAATTCGTTTGGCCTCTCCTATATAAGGAAAGGTAGAGGCTTAGAGGCAGCTAAATATACTGGCGCGTGCGGGGAGCAAGCGGGGAGGCTTTGGCACCGCGTGTGGAAAAGAGATTGTTTGAACAATGGAAAGAGGGACTCACTCGGCCCACGGGGCCCCGCGCGGACGGACGGATGGATGGAGGGATGGACTGAGGGTGATGGCACCCGTGGGCATGCACAGCAGCACCCACATGGCACCCCTCCGGGCCCCGCTTTGGCAGGACAAGCGGCGGGAGAGGGGAGGAGGTGGCTGCAGGAGGGATGTCCTTGTCCCAAACCAGCCACACTCTCCCCAAAATGCTTGTAACTCGCCCACTGGGCCAGCAGTGACCCAGGGATGAATGCGGGGTCCGTGCCTGGCCAGGAGGGAGGTGCGGGGTGCTGGGGAGCAGGGGGGGCTGTGGCAGGGTGACCCATTCCCACAGGGATGCAGCCAGCACAGGGTGGCTCCTCGAGCCGAGCCCCCCTGCAAATCCCGGGGGCAGGGACCAAACGTCCCTGCTCTGCCCCCCCTGACACGGCCCTGGGGGCAGCTCCTGCAGTCGGGGGGGTGCTGGTGGTGTCACGGTGTCCCCAAGTCCCCCGCAGCCACCAGCATCCCTGCAGTGCCCTGTGCTGGCAGGGGCTGCCCTGCCCGTGCCCATCCTCACAGCGATGCCGCCTCAGAGGTTAACGAGGAGGTCATTACCGGTTAATGAGGAGGTCATTACCGTTACCGTGTCCCCCCCCCCGGGGCTGCGAGGGCCTCGGGGAGGTGCGGGAGCTCCTGCCAGCCGAGGCTGGGGAGAGCCCGGCCGGGAGAGGGAAAGCAGGAGCGATTCAGGGAATCCTAATGACAGGAAGGCGCTGGGGAGCGGTGCCAAATCCACCGGGTGGGAGCAAGGACAGCGCAAACCCAGGGGTGAGGACGTGTGTGGAGAGAGAGATAATCCATATCTGTGCCTGTGCACGCCCCCCCAGGCTCCAGCAAGAGGTTTTTGGTATTTTTTTTTTCCCCTTTTTTAACTCCTCCTCGCCCTGGGCACTGCCTGGGGAGGGACAAGAGGAGCTGGGGGTGTATGTGCAGCTCCCCGGAGCTCCCCAGCTCAGTCACGGGGTGATGGGGACCCTGCTCTGGGGTGCCTGCAGCATTGCAGGGCCACCGGCCGCATCCTCACCCCCCCTCCCCGAGGGACCCCGGGGCTTCCCTCGGTTGCTCTGCCACCGAAAAGCCAAGACACCCACCCCAGGGGAGGGCAGAGTCCTTGAGCTGCCCCGGTCACCACCGCCTCGGTTTCTTGAGCTGGGAAACACCTGCAACAAAACCGATTTCTCTGAGATTTCTCTCCAATAAGGAGCCTGGGGCTGCTGGGAGGCTCCAGAGCCGGGTCCCCCAGGGAGGGGAGGCAGCTGCAGCAGGAGCAGCTCTTTGCCCTCAGGGCACTGAGAAATCCGGGCTCTCCCCACTTTGCCCTGGGGCTGGTACAAGCTTTTTTTTCCCCACCAGAAGCTGAGCCCTGAGCCCCTACAGCCTTGGGGGGGGACACGGGGCTCCCTCACCCACAGCCACCAAACCCTGTCCCTCACCACGAGTGAGCACTCTCTGGGTGTCCTCCTGCATCACAAACTGTGAGTGAAGCTGAGCAGGCAGGGAAGGGATCTGGGGGGGAACACAGGGGACATGGCAGCCCTTGGGAGAGCTTCACGTGGGGACAGGGGGGGAAAAAGCCAGCAGAGGTGGGTGACAGCAAGCAGAGAGCATGAGGGGACCCAGCTGAGCAGCGATGGCAGAGGGGGGACAGGCAGGAGCCTTCTGCTGCCTGGGGAGTCCCAGAGATGGGGGCTGCTCCTGGGCAGGTTCCTGCTGGGGGGCAGTGGGGGGACCCCAGCCCCGGGGCAGGCAGAGGTGAGCTGTGGCATCGGGAGCTGGTGACGCCCAGGGGGGCTCTGTTTTGAAGACAGAGGGCTGGGGAGAACAGCAGATTTGACTTCTCATGTCCTTAGGTGACATTGAGCCACGGGAACTCCCAGGGCTCCAGCCCAACCCCTGGGCCACGTGAGATGAGCAGGGACAGAACTCAGAGGGGGAGTCTCCTCCCCGCTCTGAAAAATCCATGTCCCCCGATGCCACCGGGTCCCTTCTGGGTGCTGAAGGCACCAGACCCTCTGCTGGGCACGAGGAACGAGGGGGGACTTCCAATTGGTGCACAAGGAGCACAGCAGGGTCACTGGGAACCATCCCCCAGCTGGAACTGGAGAAAGAAGCAAGCTGAGCAGCAGCAAAACATCTTCCCTCTTTATTTGCAAGAAACATTCTGTTTAAAAAAATTACTTTTAGTCTCGATCCAAGTAACACTGCAATCAACATTGTTAAACCAGAGTTCAGACAGGTTGGGCAGCCCCCGCTACACAGGAGGGTGGAGAAAAGATTTAAGAGCAAACTCTTTTAAAACTAGAATGCAACATTTGTGTGAAACATCTCAACCAGGGTTTGAACATGTTAAAGAGGAAAAACAAAATCGAGTGAAGCTGATGGCTCATCTAACAGTGGTCTCAGCTTTTGACTCCCACACACAGGTGACCTGTAGCCAGTGTCTCTAATTGGGAAGTCATTAATGCAGGAGGATGCAGGACCCTTCCCCAGCAAGGGGGCTCGTGGGGTGACAACCCAGCAGCGACGTCAGTGATGTCATGGGGCAGGAGTGGCAGGGGGTTCAAACCCCACAGGGTGGCTGTGCACACACCTCACAGAGCTGGGCATTAACAGGGCCCTACAGCCAACAGCCCACCCCGGCCCCGGGGCAGGGGGGTCCTACGCTGGGCCAAAACCCACAGCCTTCAGCCCAGGGGGGTCTCCTCACCCCCATCACCCCCATGGGCCCTGGTGCTCCCAGGAGGCTGGTTGCTGCGTGTCCCTCTTTCTTGAAGCCCTGCGAGGGCTCAGCAGCACCGAGGGTTAACGCTCCTCCCGGGGCGAGGAAAAGGGCTGCACAGCCCAGGAATACTCAGAAGCCCAGGAATACTCAATATCCTGGGAATACTCATGGGAGCCAGAAGCCTGAGGGCAGCCTGTGCTGTGTCTGTCACAAACCTGCCCTCCTCGATGAGGAGCAAGGACACCGTCCCTAACCCAGCCATTGAGGGGGGAAACGCCACAGCCCACCCCAAAACCCAGCCGTGGCAGGTCCTGCTGCTCAAAGCACCCCGAGTCTGTGCTGGGCACCCCACAGGGAGACACAAGGACAAGGGAAACAGCCTGGGCCAAGGAAAGGTGTTGCTGATACAGATCATCACTCTTCCCTCTGCCGTAACAAGAACCCAGGCTCCCCAGGAAGCACACTCTGTCTCCTGGGAGGGTAAACCACCAAACCACCACCCCCAGCCCTGATCTACCACAGGGGGGACACCCCCAGGCTGGGGGGGAGCGAGAGGCTCAGAGGGCACATGCCCCCAGGGCTGAGAACCAGCACGAGTCCCACCACTCCCCTCCAACAGCACAACTCTCTCCCAGCCACGGTCCCAGGACGGGTCGGACCCCCCCCTGCAGCCTCAAAACCTCATTTTCTCCCAGTTTGTCCATCCTACACCCCAAGGAGGGGACACGCACCAGAGGGGAGTGTCACCAAGTGTTAAGCATCCAGCCATGGCACTGCAGCCAGCACTGAGCACTCCATGGGCAGTGTGTCCCAGTGTCCCCAGTCCCCCTGTGTGGTTCCAGGAGGGACAGAGCATGGGGAGAGCAGGAGAAGCCTGGCTCCGAGCACCAGCTCCACGCCAGACACAAGCCAGAGGGTGGCCCGGGCTGTGACACAGGCAAGGGAGAGGCAAGTCCTGTGGCCATGAGGCTAATGGCTCAGGAGAGCAGCAGGTCCCCAGGGAAGAGAGCTGAGAGCCCAGAAAAACAAACTTAGCAGCAGCCGTGACTACATTCAGTGAGGGAAGGTTCCCCCTGCATTCAATAGTGTTTAATCTTCATCGAGCTCAACACAAATCAGTAGTGCAGCAATATAAATACAACCCAGGAAGTTAAAGCCTTTTGGCTTTCATAGCTCAAAAAACAAAAAAAAAAAAAAAAAAAAAAAAAAGAGCCAATGAAAAGAGTTTCCAGTTTTTAAATTAAAAACAAAAAAAAGCAAAAAACT